CCAAGAAACCAGAAACACCAATCAGAAAGGATATATGCACCCCTATGTTCATAGCAGCACAATTTACCATAGCTAAGATTTGGAAACAACCTAAGTGTCCATCAGCAGATGAGTGGATTAAAAAACGTGGTACATCTACACAATGAAATACTACGCTGCTATAAAAAAGAAGGAACTTTTACCATTTGCAACAGCATGGATGGAACCGGAGAGCATTATGCTAAGCAAAATAAGCCAGTCGGAGAAAGATAAATATCACGTGATCTCACTCATATGTAGGATATAATGATCAACATAATTTGATGAACAAGAATAGATCCAGAGACAAATGGCAGGGGATAAGGAGGTGGGGGGGGGGGTTAGAGAGCAACCAAACAACTTGTATGCATGCATATTGGCATAACCAAGATGAAGGCTTGCCCAGGGTGGGAATGGCATGGGGTGGGTGGGTCAATCGGGGAAAAGTTTTACATATGTAAAACTTTAGACAATAAGTAAAAAAAATAATAATACATAAACCTAAAAGAAATTCACAGTAATGGGTGCTCTGTGGGGGAATCCTTCTCTGAGAGAGGCCCAGGGGTATGCACCTGTATCAAGATACCCAGATGTTCCTTATGCTGATGAAAGTTTGAGAGCTCCTGACCTAAGGACCAAGTTCAAATTTCTCAACACCTAAATAGAGGGTTTATGTATAGCTAAAAAACACATTAAGCTAGGAGAAATTTTGACAATGTATTTCATTATTCATACTTCAAGTGTTTTGCAAGTACTGGTAAAAAGGTCACTAGATGTGAATGCCATTCACACTGTAATGATTACCTCCGGTGTGTCCTGAAACTCCAAGTAATTCTGGTGGCAGTCCCGAGACTGCAGCTGGAATGCCCACACGGTTATCTCGACCTGCTGATGCGGAGGAGCTTCGAAGACCCACGTGCAGGTGGAAAGTGGGACATCTGGGTTTGATGCATTGGGTGAGGAAATATTTTGTGGGGTCCAAGTTGCATTATATGTTCCACCACAAGTCACTGAGATGGGAAAAAAGAACAACTTTCAAGACAAATTTTACTCATGTCTTATCACACATGCAATATTTAAAATTCTGCCTTCTCTACCCCTCCCGCCCAAAGGAATTATATTTACATCAATCCCTCCATGAAGAATTTAGAATATATATTCTTGGCTAAGAATTGTACCAGATTTATACCCTGAATTAAACATAGAGTAAGTAACATGGTGTTTAGTAATTGGCATTGAACTTAGATGATAATTAACACTGAGTTTAAATATAAGTGTGACATTTTTAGTGCATAAATACACGTGTTTCATAATATATAAAAATGTCTCCATTTACTCACTGTTGATGAAGGTATATGTGGCATTAAATCCTTCCCTTTCTAAACTTATGTCACTGACAAATTGAACTGTCAGGAAGTTCCCAGAAGAGACAAAGGGAGCGGGTACAGTGGAACCACAGAATGTTCCGGCCAGCTTGGCATTTTCACTCTCCCCATCATATAACTGAAAGGAAAATAGTTCATTAGTTCTCCATTATTCACCAAGAAGTTGAAAATTTTATACTAAAATGGATGTGAAGTCCCAATAAGTCATGATTAAGAATCTTACATTGATGTTCTTAGAGCTAGTTTTAATTTAGGAACAGAATAGTTATTAAATTGAATATAATATAAAACGAGTTTCAGTAAAAACCTGATACAATGTCTAAAAAGTTTTTTCTGATTGTGAAAGTAATATATGATTTTAAAAATAATGTGTCATTACAGTCAGCAAACCCATCACTACCCTCACATCCACTCACTACGGTGCGGGTCCCACCCTTGCCTGGGTCCTCAACATGTCAGCCAGAGGAAACAGTTAAAATGCAAGTTGGGCCATAAATATTCTGCCAAGAACCCTCCTCACTGCTTCCCATCCACTCAGTACAAAGGCCACGCCATGAAAGTGGCCTCGAAGACCTAACAGAATCTGCTCTCCACCCCACCCCTGACCTTTTCACTCTATATCCTTCTGTCTCCGCTTTGTTTCCTCTGCTCCCTGAGCAAAGAGGCCCGCAGCTGCTTCCTGTCTGCCGCATGCGTTGTTGCCTCTGCCTGACCACGCTTTTAATGGCATCCTTCCCATCATTCTCTTCCTTCTTTCTTGCGTTCTGTTTTCTTTAGCGCATGCAGTTCCTCTACACACGGTACATGTTAGTTATGTTACTATCTTCCGTTCTGAAGGAAGTGAAAGGTCTATGGAAGCACAGGTTGCTGTTTGTTCTGTGCACTGCAAGTCCCGTTTTTAGAAGAGCGTCTGGCACAGGAGAGGAACTCAATAAAGAGCTAATAAATAAGTCCTCTCTCCCAATACCCACCCCTGCAACCCTGTTCTCTCCCTGACTTCTTTATATCAATGAACGGCTCTAGGCTACAACTTGAGTCATCCTTGGCTCCTGCCTCTCTCCTCTACCCGGCTTCTATTCCACTCGCCTTCAAAATCGATCCCAGAGGGCTCCGTCTCCACTGTCACCAGCATCTCCTTCACCTTTGTTCTTGTAACACCTTCCTGACAGACGTGTTTAGCCAGAGCAGCCAGAGTATTCTCCACTGAGCTGCCTGAGTGTTCTCAAACTTAAATCAGATCATGCTCCTGCTCGGCCTAAAATGCTCCAGGAGATTCCCACTGCATTTAATGTAAAACCAAACTCTATGGGGCTTGCAAGCCCCTACCTGGTCTGGCCTGGGCCTGCCTCAGCCTCCCTCCCACTTCCCGGCTCCCTGTAGTTCCTCCATCCCAGGATGAGTTCCTACCCAGCTCTTGGACGGACCTCAGCTCTTGGATGGACCACACTCAAGGGATCTCAGCTCAAATGTCTCTTTTTGAGAGAGGCCAAGCCTATCTAATGTGGCCCTCCCCCTCTTCTATTTTCTTATTATAATAAAAATCTATCTTATTTGTTGCATATTTATTTTTTTCTGGTCTATCTTCCAACAAGATCGTAAATGCCATGCGTGGGAAGGCTAATTATTCACGTGGTATCACCAGTACCCAGAATAAGTCGACAAAGTCTGTTGAAATAGTGGGTACTTGGATTTCTGTCAATTATTAGAAAACAGTGTTTTCTCCAGCTCAGTAATCATGGTATTTCTAAAATCAGTATGTGTGTAGACGTAAATATTGAATTTCTAAAAGAACTGTGGTGTGCTATAAACCTGAGAATGGACATGACCACTGACATTAGTTAAAAATGTTAGGAATATATAAGATAGAAATGGTTAGAGTAATTTAACAGTGAACAGAAGAAAGGACAGACCACTAGATGGCACTGTCTCACCTGCTTGAACACGATTTTAGTAAATTTAGAGCCAGAAGAGATTCAAGAGTTAAGCCATGTATCCCCCCTCACTTTATAAAAGAGTAGTTTGGTCAATCTTAGCTAATGTACTTTTTCAGGTAAGCAAGTTAAACTTCTATTAGAAACATTGCTGCCTTTGTCAGCACATTCATATTAGCGGCGCTTTTATTCTATGTACTGTGTGCCTGGCCTCTGTGCTAGTCCTATGTATACAATGATTATAATGCACTTTCCATACATTCAAGACACTAATTGTACACTCACAAATTAGTGGGAGAAAGAGATCCATAAATTAAATATACATATATATCTGTGTATGAATTATATGTAAAATAAAGAAAATAAGTGCTACAATGAAATAATGTAATAGGGAAACCCAGATGATGACCTCACACAGATATTTGTTTGAACTATTATTTAAAATTAAGAACTTATATACATATATGCATAGCCATGGACACAGACAATAGTGTGGTGAAGGCCTGGGGTGGGGCAGGGGCTGGGAAGAGGGTCAAAGAGGGGGAAAACCGGGCAGGATGTGCATTTGTAATACTGTCAACAATAAACACACACACACACACACACACACACACACACACACACACACACACACACACAGTAGGTGGGGCCCTTCCAGTCCTACGGAAGAGGAAGCAGATGGAAGGCGATGCAGAAAGCCTCAGGAGTACGGAAGGCATGGCATGTCTCAACAGCTCGCCACCTTTTGATGTGCCTGCAGATTAGGGTGAGAGAATTGGGATTGGGAAACACATTGGGACAAGACTGAAGTTCTATGTGCTTCATGCTAAGGAGTTTGCATCTTCTCCTGTGGAAGTTATAAGATCTGATTTGGGTTTTGAATAAATAGCTGGTAAAAGTGATGGAAGGTAATTGCATAATGCCTGGCTTTGAGCTGATATTTGCATTTGTTCATTCACTGGCACAATAAGATTTCTCTTAATTGAGTAGAAATAGACAGGTTGTGGCCTCTGGACAACTGACATGGGCTCCTGGACTCTTTGTAGCCGAAGCCAAAATTTTTTTGTCTGCCATCCCATTCGCTGATAATGCTAAATCTCCACTGTGGACTTCTGCAGGGGGCTCCAGAGTGTGCGACAGGAGGCGCACTGCACAGTGCTGGAGATGGGGACATTCAGACCAGGACAGGGATGGTGCCCTTGGGACCTGCACAATCATTGCTGCTGCTGATTGCATATTTGGCCTGGCACCAGGGCTTCAGACCCAGAACTTAAGTTATGTTCTAAGTCTTGTGGATGTAGACTAGTTCCGAGAAGAACTTTGTGTTTTCTCAGCTTTTAAAACTCTTTGATAGTGGAGCACATTAGAATCTACTTAAGATCCTGAAGGAATTGCACAAATAATTTAGGGGAAGATACCTCTACCTACAACGACTGAAAGACCCTGCACTTTACCCAGCCATTAATTTGAGCCCAGAAGAAAGTGGGGAAGGAAGTGTTTGAATGTTAATTTCTGTGAACTTTAATGCTAAAGGGCAAGAGACTTTGATAGTGGACTTTCTTTCGCATTTAATTTTATTTCAGACAGTAATTTTCTTAGGACTTTATCTTTTAATATTTTCCTGGGAATTTGATAACAGGAAGATTTTTATGTTCTTATTTGGAGCATCTCTACATTGCCTCTTACAAATTCCTTAACTTCACAAATTCTTTAATTTCATTGAGAAGCCTCTGTTAGAATCCACGGGCCAACATGCCAGGGCAAAATTTGGGATGGGAATCAGAGCACAGTGACTTTTCAAGTTTAGGGCTGAACTCTGATCATTTCAGAACCTTCTGGGGAAAATGTCATCCTGGTCCCAGTGGTCTCAGGAAGAGCCACAAGAAGCAATTAGAATCAGCTCTATAAATGCAGGAATTTTTACAACACAATTTTTAGAATTACTACCAGTAGTAGTATGGTATTTTATCTTGATGTTCTTTTCCAGTACTCAGAATGGTGTCTGGAACATAATGGGTGCTGAAATAAATATTTATCCCATGAATGGATGAGTGAATGAATGAACAGTAGTAGGTACTGCCTCATAAGGATAGGAACCTGATGCCTGGATAGATTGCTGATCTTCTTCCCAGAGGTGAACAACCCCCTCTCCAGTGGCTGACCACAGACTGAATGGGGAAGCCCAGTGGGTTAAGATAGATGTTCTCAATGGGGCAGAACTGTTCCCTAGGGAGTGCTTTGCGAAGCACGTGTGGTGTTTTGTGGTCATCACAATAACCTGGCGCTCTAACTGGCATTTACCACTCAGCAGTCACATGGCAGGATCCCATCTTATAATTCACAGGAGAGTTCTGCAAAGTGAAGGTTTACTCTATGTCCAACATTATTGAATGTCCTGCCAGACATTTGTGTATAAAAAACTGTTTCTAATTATTTGATCCGAGAACCTAAACCCATTCAATATTCAAACATAAAAATATTTTTTGCACAGCTTTAATATTCACCAAATTCCCAAAAATGCAGTTGCTCTGTAAGTTGAAGGGTAGTTTTTGTTTTCTTTGCAACCGTTTTATTTTAGTTTTACTATTATTTAGAAATTCATATTGCAGATGGTGATACTGCTATTGCATTTACGTTACAAATGCAGCCCACCCATATTAGTTTAAACTTAAACTTTTATATCTGCCATGAGAGGGTGCCGGCCGCCTTCTGTAAAGCGCTCTGAACCCTTGGCCCTGGTGGAGTCGTGAGCTCCACACTGGCTCCTGGTGGAAGAAAGGTCCCCCAGTTCCCGGACACCTTGGATTTGACCCCCCGGCTGCCGTTGTCAGGGAGCTCCGCTCATTTCGAAGTTTCCAGCCATTTCCGAGAAGCCTGTGGGTAAGGCCTGTCTGACGCCGCCAAGGCCCAACTTTACAAGGAGCTCAAGAGGCTGGCGGTGTGGCCACCGGGTTGGAGCCTACAGCTTTATTTTCTACTAGAGGCCCAGTGCACAAAATTTGTGCACTCAGGGTGGCGGGGTCCCTCAGCCTGGCCTGCGCCCTCTTGCAGTCTGGGAGCCCTCAGGGGATGTCCGGCTGATGGCTTAGGCCCGCTCCCCGAGCCAGCCTAAGCAGTCAGTCGGACATCCTTAGCACTGCTGCAGAGGTGGGAGAGGCTCCTGCCACCGCCGCTGTGTTCACCAGCTGTGAGCTGGGCTTTTGGCTGAGCAGCGCTCCCCCTGTGGGAGTGTACTGACCACCAAGGGGCAGCTCCTGCATTGAGCGCATGCCCCCTGGTGGTCGGTGCGCATCATAGTGACCAGTTGTTCAGCCGTTAGGGTCAATTTGCATATCACCTTTTTATTATATAGGATGTATATGGGGAGGCTATAGCATAGATGACTGTCTTTAATGGTCAAGGAAGTATTACAAAGTATTGGTGGGAATGTTAGGAAGAAGCCATCTCCTTTCTGCTAGTTCCATATTTCCTGAGAGAGACGCGTCAGCCAGGGCACCAGTTCTGAGCCCTCTCTGCCATTTCACTCACTGCTCACCACAGAGGAGTCTTAGCCAATTGGCAAGCTGGTGTCCAGAAGCTGGGCCTGCTCTGCATAGCTCGCAGCCCCTCTGACTTGCCTTCTCCTCGCAGCCAGCCTCACACAGGAAGCTTGCTTTTGTGATGTTCCTCCAAAGCCCAGCTCAGCCATCCCATGTAGGAAGCCTTTCCTGACCCCAAAATGACATCAACCATTCTCGCTTCTGTTCTGCTTTCCTATGTGGCCCATATTTGTCATTTTGTCATGTTGTCTGATTTATGCCTGTCTCCTCACTCTTCAGCTCCTTGAGGAACTGTATTTTTACGTTTTCACATCTTGAGTGCAGGGGATAATGCCCAGCACATAATGATGCCATGTGACTCTTTATGGAATGGATGTGATGTTAACATCAGCACATCCGCTCAGTGACACACACAGTTCACTGCATATTTGAATAACCTTCCAAATCAACCCTTTAACAAATAGTTATATAATTACAGATGAATAATAGAATCGGCAAGTTTTCACTTGTATATCTACCTACAGAATTGAATTGTTAGCTTTTCTCAAAAGTGATTTGATTATAATATCCAAGAAACAATCTAAAAGGAATCAAAAGTCCCATTTATCACAGAGAATCTCTGTCATAAAGACCCCTCCAGGTCTCCCATTCCAAGGGGTGCTCTTTAATCTGCCCATTTCGTATAAGCTGAAAAAATTACCAAGTGAGGAAAATTGCTTTCCCAAGAAGTAAAATAAGGGTAGATCTGAACAGATTGTTTTTTATTATATCTAAAAGCTAGAAAGTAACTCTTTGTTTTCAATATTGCTATTTCTGTCTTAAAGTTACTATTGTTTTAATGACATTATCAAATCACAATCTCCTATATGGAAATGGACCTTGAGAATAAATCCTATCAACCTTCCCAGCAGAACCAAGCCCAAACACCCTTTATGAATTTATACTTAAAATAATGTAAATGCAAACCAATTATTTTTAATATTTTAAGAAAAGGAGATTGTACAGCCTCATGCCTTCTGTAATTTCACAAAGGGGAAAATAAAGAAATAAATTTGTTTACAAATTATATGTCAGGCATAGTGCTGAACAGTCTAGCATACATTATCTTTATCCTCAAAATAGCTTTGCAAGATAGGTATGATTATGTGATTTTTTTGTTTGTTTTTTAGTAGATGCAGTGATAAGAATCAAGGAGACAAAATTTGTAGGGTGGCAAAATTAGGTTTGAGTGCATGTTATTTGTCTCTATCACTTACTACCTTTCTGTAAAATCAAGGTACCTTTCTGTAAAATCAAGGTAACTCTTGAACATTCTTGAACATCAGCTGTTCTGCTGTTCCAAGCCATTTTGGTCTCATTTCAGAAAGGAACAATTCAATCTGAACTGACATTTCTTGTTAGCTCTAGGTTTTCAAGAACTCCCTCTGATCTTGCTCCTGTGTCAATACTTTATTTAAAGTTGTCACCCAGTCTAATGAGTTTTTCCTTCATCTTAACCTTTCCTGGCCTCTAATTTACCATTTAAACGCATTGACCACCCATCCTTGGTAAAGGCTCTCTCCTTGACTTCGCTGATACTATGTATTCCTGGTTGTTGTTGTTTTCCATGACTCATGTTTCTTGTCTTTTGTTCTCCAGTTGCCTCACTGTGAACCTTTCATGGAGTTGAGTGGGACCCTGGCTGTCTAGCTCCAGGCTGTCCCCCTAAATGAAAGCACCGTTTCCCCTGATTTCGGAAGGGCTCTTCTGCTATCTCCCCTCTGCTCTGTTCTCTTGCTGGAGCTCTGTTCCATCCTCTGCCCACAGGCAATGCCATTTGTCTGCCCTGCTATGACCCAACCTGCCCCGATCCTTCACAAAAAGCATGTTATCTTCCTAATAGCACTGACATTCTTCTGCTCTCTGAGTCTTGGGGCTTATCACAGTGAAATATGAGACAGTATATAATTAAGGGCACAAGTGTGTACTCCACCTATGACTTTTCTTTCCTGTTTAAAACCACACACACACACACACACACACACACACACACACACACACACACGATTTCTTTAAAGTTTAACATGATTTTGAACTTAAATTTTCTCTTGCACCAGACTTGTCATCTCTACCATCTCTATACCCTCCTGACATAAAGGTAATCTCACCTCGGGGCCCTAACTCCAGACACCCCCTGTGACAATTTACCCGGAATCCTGATTCCAGATTAGACTTTTAAAATTCTGTTCAATTTGGATTTTAATGAGATTTTGGAACTAAGATATTTTCCACATCTAAAGGTAATATGAAAAGTAAATCTATATACTTTAGATATAAAATAGATATAAAATAGATAAATTAAGGGGTTGTTTTTTATATGCAGGGTTTACCAAAGGTCCTTTGAGTATCTCTTTCTATACAAGCTCATTCCACAGATCATCTCCTTATGAGACACGGTTAAACAGTGAATCTTAAAGCTAATGTTAGAAGCCACCCAAAGTTTTTGAGTCTTCCATATTAAAGATTAATTTGATATAGAGATAGAGCATCTTTTATATTATCTACACTAATAAAAGAGAAACATGGTAATTGGCGTACGACCGCTACCCTTCTCATTGGCTAATCAGCATATCCTTATGCAAATTAACTGTCAGCCAAGATGGCGGCCGGCAGCCAGGCAGCTGGAAGCGAACATGAGGCTTCCTTGCTTCAGTGACTGCAGACTCCAACGTTCCCCGCCTCACTTGCCGGCCTCTGAGTTGCAAATCTAATCAACTATGTACTATGTTGTAAATAAGAAGCTAAACAAAACCCTAGAAACCAGCTTTCAACCTGCCGGGATCTCAGAGCTGAAGTTATACATTGTTTCGATTATAGAATGGCAAACAAACCAGATACGAAGCCTCAGAGCTAGAGCCAGAGCTAAAGCTGGCCCAGAATAAAATAAAAAAAGAGAAAAAAAAGGAGCAGTTGGGAGCTTCAGTCAACAACCGCCAGCCTGAAAGCAGCCCTCAGCCCCTCACCCAGACTGGCCAGGCACCCCAGTGGGGACCCCCACCCTGAAGGGGGTGTGACCAGCGGCAAACAGCAATCATCCCCTCATCCAGGCTGGCCAGGCACCCCAGTGGGGACCCCCACCCTGAAGGGGGTGTGACCAGCGGCAAACAGCAATCATCCCCTCATCCAGGCTGGCCAGGCACCCCAGTGGGGACCCCCACCCTGAAGGGGGTGTGACCAGCTGCAAACAGCCATCATCCCCTCATCCAGGCTGGCCAGGCACCCCAGTGGGGACCCCCACCCTGAAGGGTGTGTGACCAGCTGCAAACAGCCATCATCCCCTCATCCAGGCTGGCCAGGCACCCCAGTGGGGACCCCCACCCTGAAGGGTGTGTGACCAGCTGCAAACAGCCATCATCCCCTCATCCAGGCTGGCCAGGCACCCCAGTGGGGACCCCCACCCTGAAGGGTGTGTGACCAGCTGCAAACAGCCATCATCCCCTCATCCAGGCTGGCCAGGCACCCCAGTGGGGACCCCCACCCTGAAGGGTGTGTGACCAGCTGCAAACAGCCATCATCCCCTCATCCAGGCTGGCCAGGCACCCCAGTGGGGACCCCCACCCTGAAGGGTGTGTGACCAGCTGCAAACAGCCATCATCCCCTCATCCAGGCTGGCCAGGCACCCCAGTGGGGACCCCCACCCTGAAGGGGGTGTGACCAGCTGCAAACAGCCATCATCCCCTCATCCAGGCTGGCCAGGCACCCCAGTGGGGACCCCCACCCTGAAGGGGGTGTGACCAGCTGCAAACAGCCATCATCCCCTCATCCAGGCTGGCCAGGCACCCCAGTGGGGACCCCCACCCTGAAGGGGGTGTGACCAGCTGCAAACAGCCATCATCCCCTCATCCAGGCTGGCCAGGCACCCCAGTGGGGACCCCCACCCTGAAGGGGGTGTGACCAGCTGCAAACAGCCATCATCCCCTCATCCAGGCTGGCCAGGCACCCCAGTGGGGACCCCCACCCTGAAGGGGGTGTGACCAGCTGCAAACAGCCATCATCCCCTCATCCAGGCTGGCCAGGCACCCCAGTGGGGACCCCCACCCTGAAGGGGGTGTGACCAGCTGCAAACAGCCATCATCCCCTCATCCAGGCTGGCCAGGCACCCCAGTGGGGACCCCCACCCTGAAGGGGGTGTGACCAGCTGCAAACAGCCATCATCCCCTCATCCAGGCTGGCCAGGCACCCCAGTGGGGACCCCCACCCTGAAGGGGGTGTGACCAGCTGCAAACAGCCATCATCCCCTCATCCAGGCTGGCCAGGCACCCCAGTGGGGACCCCCACCCTGAAGGGGGTGTGACCAGCTGCAAACAGCCATCATCCCCTCATCCAGGCTGGCCAGGCACCCCAGTGGGGACCCCCACCCTGAAGGGGGTGTGACCAGCTGCAAACAGAATTTCATGCACCCGGGCCTCTAGTACATTATATCATTGAAGTATAGGACATTTTAAAAATTAGCACTACACACAATTTTCAAAACCTCCTGTATGGCATAAAGTGGAATATACCATATGAAAGTCTGGATTAGAATACTTCTGTTAAGAAATATAATAGCCTTACCTTTACATAGTCATAAATGCATCTTTGCAAAGTAGATGCTGACTCCAGAGCAAATGTATTGAAGGTGAGTTTAATGAGTTTGTTTACAGGGGCAATTATGAACCATATGCAGTTTAAATTCTTGTCATATCTTCCATTTGCATCAGAATCAGGAGAGGCAAAGGTGCTATTGGAGCCTGTCAGATAGCCACCACATCCTTGTTGAGGCCCTGTGTCGAAATAAAGACATCATTAAGCAAACTGAGAGGAACAGGTCTTAGTTTCCACATGGAGGCTTTTAAAAATCATATTGTTCCTACTTTCTCTCACACGTTGATAACTATTGTCAGACTGTTCCCTGAGCTTCAGTGGGCTTGTGCAGGTGCTGTTGCTACTGGCCTTAACTTCTTCATTACCTAGTTCCTCTCCACTCCTCTCACCACCCCTCAATCCCTTTCTTCTCATTCACACAGAGTTGCTTAGAAAAGTGGAGAATCAGAGTTGGTTCTTTGTGCATTTTTAGACCTGCTGATGTGATTTATTAAAGCTTTTTCTAGCCTTGAAAAATCCAATTTTATAGAAAATAGTGTTTTGCATAATAAAACTGGTGGAAACTGTGGACATGTTTTATTTTTATGTTTTGCTTTTATGAACACTATCCAACTGAAAACTGAATTTATGAAGAATTTACCCAACATGCCAAGAAAATTGGCTCCCAACAAACCTTTTATTTAAATAATCTGTCAGAAAGAGGCTGAGGCATTTAGCACTTCCAGTTTATATTAAACCACATTCTAAATTTAATTTTCCCTTTTCCAGAAAAAAAGAAGAGCTAAAGAAGAAGACCACTAGTGAAGAAAATAGTCTACTTTGAAATAAAAATTTTGAAATTTAGACTAAAAAGAGAGGGATAAAAAAGTACCCATGAGATGACTAAATGATTTACTATGAAAAAATATGGAAAATCCGCAGAACATTGGATTTAGTTTCATCCACTCCACAGCCTAAGTCAATGCCTCAGAAAATATTTAAGAAGGAAGAAAAACTATGGACAATTTCAACAGAAATAGTGAGGATGAATTAAGCTCAAAATAGTTGTAAGAGGACTAGGGATTAAATACTAGAACTAATGTCCATAAATTTTGCATTCTACACAAACATAGATCATTACTACTTTCAAAGTTAAATTTCACTGACTTTGGTCTTCATTTATTATTCTTATTCCATTTATTTTGCTGTTAATAGTGAAAGGGTTGCTTTCAACATTAGGGGGCGCTAAGATTTTGGACTTGGCGCTTGGCAGGAAATGCGCACAATGGCAGCCCTCCTCAGAGGCAAAGGCTATCAACCGATGGTGTTGTTCAGGACAGAGGCATTATTTAGTGCAGTGGTTCTCAACCTTGGCTGTGAGGCCCAGAAATCAGGATTTTAAAAAGATTCCCAGGTGATTCTAATGTGCAGCCAAGGTTGAGAACCACTGATTTAGTAGGTCAGACTGCCTTGTCCACCACTCCTAACTCAGGTCAAACTATAGATTATAGGCACAGTCAGATGTTTTCTGGAGCTGAAATTCTTCCAAAGGCCCAGTTTCTGATATTTTCACATATGGTGGTAACTAGGACAAAATTATTTTGAAACCAAAGCAATGTGCAATGCTTCATGGTATAATTCTAATAATTCTTTTCATATTAAATAGGCCTGCAAACTAAAAAAAGAATTGGAGTTTGCACAGCTTTTATTTTGGTATTGTTACTTAAGGAAACCACTTAAGTTTATTGACATGCATAGCAGGGGAGAACAATTATTTAAGGTATTAATGAATTGATACATTTATTTATTAATTCAATAACCATTGTTTTAATAGTGAAGGAAATATATTTAGTATTGAAGTTGGAAAAAGATGAATAGTAGTCCAGGAGCAATGCTATGAATAGATAAATAATGAGAGTCCAATTTAGGTGCCATAAAGGAGGCAGGAAAGTCCTGAGTTTAGCAAGAAGGGGAAATTACCTCAGGCTGTGAGGATCTAGAATGCTCAAGGAGGAGGTGGCATCTGATCTGGGTCTTGAAGGATAAATAGGACAAGATCAGGTAGAGACGGGCTTGGTGCTGGCAATTCCAGGCTGACAGCACCTCATAACCAAAGGTTAGTGGACAAGAATTTATATTATATGCTTAGAAGAGCAAAATTCTGTTTGTGAAAACAACAGAGTACATGAAAGAGAATAATGAGAAGGTTAGAAAACAGGATGGGCTGTTCTATAGAGGCCTCAAATGTCAGAGTACAGAATTTGACATTTAGACGTTTTTTCTGTGTACAATGGGGTCCACTTGAAAGTTTTTTTGTCAGAGTAGTGGTAGGGTCAGAATGTACTCTCTAGTCAAGTCTGATCTAAAATTGTATCTGGTAGTCGTGTTTACATGAAGGGGAACAGGACTGGAGGAGGTTATACTAGGTAAGAGGACATCGCCCTGTCGGGCTGGAGGTAGCAAGGGGCAATAAAGACTTGGAGGTTTTCATACAGGAAAATGATGCTCTTGGCTTAATTCTATTACTACATCAGCTCCAAAAAACTAAATACTGTTTTTAAAAATTCAAGTTATATATTTTATCACTACTTGTTTATTGTTACTAATAAGTTACTAAGGGCAGAATGATAACTGTTTTTGGGCACAGTACGTGCCATTAAACACACTTATCATACAACTAGTGGCCCTGCGCATGAATCCGTGCGCAAGTAGCTCACTGCTGCTTGCCTCAGCTGGCTGCCCTGCCCACCGCCGCTCACAGCTCTCTGCCACACCTAGCTCACTGCCCCGCCCTCCTGCTGTTCGGTGGATACATGACAGTATCATGACTAATTTGCATATTACCCTATTATAAGTATAGGTACTATTACTACTACCACCACTACTACTGCTGTCATAAGACAGAAACACCCTTCTTCCTCCAAGGAACCCCAGAGCAAAAATCTATAAATCATTGGCATGTATTGGCATAGATTGAGTGGTAGATTGAATGATTCTTAATCCTTCAATCCTTCTGTCATCGGTTTCTCTCTTTGAAGTGCACTAGAATGGCAGAGGATATTTTTCTGCCCACTTGATGTTAGGCTTGGTCATATGACTTGCTTTAGACATTGGAATCTTTGTGGTCATGAAGTGGAAAGAGGCCTTAAATGGGCTTGCGATTTTTGCTTGGCCTTTTTGTCCTCCTGTGATTCACCCAGAGCTCATGCCCTGGGTGACTGCTGGTGAAAGAGAAAGTGGATGGAGAGCAGACCTGAGCCCAGCCGGAAGTCTGGAACCAACCACAGTTAACCTGCAGCTGGGAGCAGAGGCAGTCAAACCAGTGACTGATAAAAATAAATGCTCTAGGCATAAACCACTGAAATTTGGATAGTTTGTTATGTACCCCTATTTTGGCAATAACTGACAATAAGTAGCTTGTTTGAGTAATAAAACTGTAATAAAGCACATTGCTTAACTCTTAAAATATACACAGAAAATAATGAAAGTGAAAAGCTAACATTATCACAGATAATTCTTTCCAAAGTAGTCAAATAATTAAGTAAATAAAACATTATATGAGTGAATTATGTAATTCACATTATATATAAATATCAGTAAATATAGTACTATATGGGTGAATAGTCAAATTATTGAAGTAAATGTGTGAGTAACAAGTAAAGTCACATGAGTAAACACTTTTTGGTGTTTGTATGATACAGGAAATTGTTATAATTGCTCTGATTACCCCACTCTTTAAAAAACATTTTTTCAATTTCATTCAATATTATTCTGTACTGGAGGCCTGGTGCATGAATTTGTGTACAGGT